ATGCATATTCTTTTTTTCGGTCCAGAAACCCCGACAGTAAGCATGTGTGGTGTTGTTTGCTTTTAGTTGTTTATTTTTTGTTGTTTCTATTTGTTTTGTTGATATGTAGATTTATTCTGGTGTTGTGTTGTTGTTGTTGTTTTAGTTTGTTTGTTTGCTTGTTTTTACTTCTTTGTTGTTTTCAGTCATGTATTTTTTTTCATATTTTGGTGTTTTATTTATTTCCAGGCGTGGTTTATCGTTTCTTTGCAGTTTTTTTTTGTGAGTTTGTTCAGTAGTCTAGTAATATATACATGCATATATATGTGTGTGTGTGTATGTGTGTGTGTGTGTGTGTGTGTGTGTGTGTGTGTGTATTTGTACATATATATTTTCTATATTTTCTTAGTTTCAAATTTGTTTTAGATGTGCGAGATGTTCTGCTTTGCTTTGTTTATATTTTTATTGATTAAGTGAATACCATGTATTTGATTTTAGATTTTTTATTTATTGATTGATTGTTTAAGTCCGTTTCCATGGTGATTTATTCTGTTTAAGGAATGAATTGATAAGCTTTCTCATTAAGAAAAAGAAATGTATAATTTATTTGATGTCAGTTATTCCCTTTTTAGATTTAGAAGTTATATGATGCTTTACCTTTTGCATTTCTATCTTCCAACTTTGAAATATTTAATGATTGTTTCATTTAATTCATTTTATATAATTTTAAATAATGTTTCATAATCCGTGTAGAGTATCAGTTTATACTTTTTTCTCCAAAATACTTGATTCCATAAAAGTGTTCTTATTAGCTTATATCGCGACAAGCAAAGTATAAATTGAAAGACGACCTAATACAAATTCAGATTCAAAGACTCTCCCATCTGAACTCTCACCTTCGCCTCAAGCAAATCAAGGTCACACCCCCACCCAATTTGACCTCTGACCCCTATGATAAAAGTCACAGATGTCCAATGCTCTTTTGTCACGTCTCTGCACTCTAACTAATCCTAAGTCACCTCTCATCCACCCAACTGAGCCGAGGTCACCCCATAACCTAGGTCAAACACACAAACGTCCATATAAACACACACAAAACACAAAGGAAAACGCGCGCGCAGACATACACATACATACACACACACAAATATACACATACTTACACACAAATATACACACACATACACACAAATGTACACGTGAAATCAATCAAAATATCACCCCCAAACCTTTAAGTCTCCCAACCTAACCTTAGCCTCCCCCCCCCCCTCATTTTAATTTACTTTTTCTCTCTGACCTCTGACCCTTAACCTCTCTCTCCCCGTGTTGCAGGAAAGGAGAGTCTCGTTATCAAGCCCCAGGGGAAGATCCAGACAGTGTTCAAGAGTGATAGCTTCTTCGTCTCCTGCTCCAGCGACGCCGATAACGTCCAGAGGGTCATGTGGACTGGACCTGAAGGGCAGCAGATCACCGACTACCGGGGCAGGTCAGGTCACCTCTAGGGGTCGAGAGATAAGTTCCATTGATGGGTCATGATGGGGAAATGATGGTCACCGGATTCTGGAGAAAGGTCAGGACAGGCTGGGGGATGATTAGGGATAAGAAATAATGATCACTGGCTCTTGGGTAAGGTCAGGTCACCTCTAGGGGTCGAGATGGGTCAAAGAGTGGAAGAGTGATGGTGGGAGATGGTGATTGCCTTTTTCAGGAAAATGATGATGAAAATAATGACCAGTGACTATTGCGAAAAGGTCAGGTTACATGATGGTATGAAAGGGACACCGGATTCTGAAAAAAAGACAGGGCAAGTTGCAGCTCTTCATAAGTGCTGAGAAATAATGATCACAGGAAATGGTAAAAGGTCAGGTCACCTCTATGGCTCAAACAGGGTCATGATTAGAAATTATACTTACTGGTTTCTGGAAATAGTCAAGACAAAACTTAGAGTCAGTGTGGGTCAGATTTGGTAATGTTAATGAATAATGATCATTTAACACCCATCTAGGGGCCAAGACAGGTCAAACAAGGTGATAACAATCATAGGAAATCACGATCACCGATTTCTGGAAAATGTCACCCAATATATCCAATAGATACAGAAACTTAGACCAGACTATACTCGATAGATTTCTAGCAGAAATACCTTACAGATACGAAATTTGTACCAGATATACCAAACATACACCGGATAGATTTATAAAACCTACGCCAGATAGACAAAATGGCTACTGGATTTGAAATCAGATATGTCAAATTGATGTTGGAGTTATAACTTTTACGATAGTGAAATATGGAAGAGCTTTTTCTACGAATGAAGTGTGTTTAGAATTAAATTTATAGAGAGAAATGCTTTGTTTCATTTGACGGAAAAGGGAGAGAGAGAGAGAGAGAGAAGAAACACTGGATAAAGTGTGTAATATGAGATTACCAGAGAGAAATGCTTTGTTTTATTTGATGAAAAGGGAAGAGAGAGAGAGATGGAAGAAATGCAGAACTGAAGTAAGAGTTGATAGTTAATTGGCAGATATATTAGAACGAGAGAGAATGAGTGAGAGAGAGAGAGAGAGAGAGAGAGAGAGAGAGAGAGAGAGAGAATGAGGGAGAGAGAGAGAGAGAGAGAGATGGAGGTAATACGAGGAAGGAAACGAGGAAGAGAGAAGATAATAGTCGCACAAATAAACACACATACACACACACGACCCCTCCCCCTCAGCTCATTCCACCCCAACATTCCCACCTCCCCCCCCCCCCGACCTTTCCCATCCCCCTTCCCTCCCCTACCACACACACCACCTAGGCAGGCGAACAGACAAACAGACAGACACAGAAAGCCAGGGAGATGCAAGACACGAAGGAACAGGTCAATCTAACGCTTACAAAAGGTTCCCCGGTCAACGATATCCTGAAATAGCACTCTGGGAGATGTTGCACTTTGCAAGATGTTGCAACTGATGTGGTGAAGGGGGGGAGGGTGGTGGGATGGGGTAGGGGGAGTGTAATAGTTTTTTCTTCCTTTTTTTATTTATCTACTCTATTTTATTTTATTTTATTGTTTTTATCTTTCTTTTTCTTTTCTCTTTCGTCTTTTTCTTTTTCTGTTTTTTATATTTATTTTTTGCTCGGTTTGTTTTTTTCTTCGTTTTATTGTCTTTCTCTTCTCCCTTTTATTGTTTCTTTTTTTCTTTCATTTTTTATATATTTTTATCTCTCTTCCCGTCACGCCCTTCTCACCCCCTACACCCTCCCCCCCTTCCCTCCCCTTCCTCCCCTCTCTCTTCCACGTTCCCTTCTTTTCATAAACTCCCCTCCACCCTCTCCTCCCCTCCTTTCCTCCCTCCCTCCCTCCCTTCCCCTCACTATCCACCCTCCCCTCCCCTCTCCTCCCCTCCCTCCCTCCTTCCCCCTTTGCACCCTCCCTCCATTCCACACCCTCCCTCCCTCCCTCTCCCCCCCTCCTCCCCCCTCCTCCCCATCCTCCCCTCCCCCTCTTCTCCCCCTCCTTCCCCATCCTCTCCTCTCCCCCCTCCTTCTCCCATTGCACCTTCCCTTCCATTCCACACCCTCCCTCCCTCCCTTTCCCTCCCTCCCTATCCACCCTCCCCTCCCCCCTCCTTCCCCATCCTCCCCCTCCCCTTCTTCTCCCCCACCCTCCTTAACCCCCTCCTTCCCCCCTCCACCCTCCTTCTCCCTTTGGACCTTCCCTTCCATCCCACACCCTCCCTGCTTCCCTCCCCCCTCCTCCTCCCACCCTCCCCACTCCTCCCTCCCCACCCCTCCCCCTCCCCTCCCCTTCCTCCCCACCCTCTTCTCCCCCTCCCTCTCCTCCCCCTCCCCCTCTTCTCCCCCTCCTTCCGCCTCCTCCCTCCCTCCCTATCCATCCTCTCTCCATCTCACACCCTCCCTCCCTCTCCCCCCTCTCCCTCCTTCCTCCCTCCCCACCCCTTTCTTCCGGAACCCCGTTAAACTGTACAATTAAACCCGATTAATTTTTCCCACCTTTAACAGTGACTTAAATTAGATCTCAAGAACAACCGAACAATTGAATTAACAATTAGCGGGTCATTAACTTATCCGCGCTGATTATAGCACAATGGGAGTGGGAGCTGGGAGGTTCTGAATGGTGGTGATGGTGATAGTGAGGGTGATAGTGATAGTGACAGTGATGGTGATGGTGTAGTGATAGTGACAGTGATGATGATTGGGACAGTCATGGTGATAGTGATGGTGATAGTGATAGTAACAGTGATGGTGATGGTGTGGTGATGGTGATAGTGATTGTGACGGTGATGGTGATAGTGATAATAACGATGAAGATAAAATAATAATGATAAATTAAGATAATGGTAAAAATCAATGAAGATATCAATCATGATAGTAATAATAATGATAACAGTAATGATAATATTAGTATTAACGATAATAATAATGATAGCAATAATAATGATGCTGCTGATGACAGTAATAATGATAATAATGATGATAATAATAATAGTAATAATAATAATAATGATAATAATGATAATAATAATGATATTGATAATAATAATAATAATAGTAATAGCAATAATAATGATATTGATAATAATAATTAAAGTAATAATAATAATAATAATATTGATAATAATAATAATGATAATAATGATAATAATAATAATAATAATAATAATAATAATAATAATAATAATAATGATAGTAATAATAATAATGATAATAATGATAATAATAATAATAATAATAATAACAATAATAATAATAATAATAATAATAATAATAATAATAATAATAACAATCATAATAATAATAATAATAATAATAATAATAATAACAATAATAATAACAATAACAATAATAACAGTTAAAAAAACAGCAATAATAAAAATGATAACAGACAAAGCAGAACGCAGCCAACGGAAGTCCATCCCATAAAGGTCAAAGCAGCGATTACAGCCAATCCCTCTCTCGCCCTTATTGCCCTGTCGTCGCCGTAATGGCTGGGCGTTCGCAAAAGCATCAGCCAGAAG